GTTCAGAAAAGAAGGTGTCAAGTAGGAAAATCCTTGTCACTATACAAGAAAGAGCTTAGTAAAACAAAATAGACCAAGCTGGGGGAATGGGGAGCCCAATATTAATGCAAAAGTAGGATACTTAATAAGTTAGTAGGATGGCATTTGTCATTAAACTGAGTAAATTACTTAGCCCTTCCCTAAATCCATCTTCAGCATGCAAAACAATGTGTTAGGAAGTGAAGGTTGCCCTTTTGAGGAATTTCTAGGTGCAGGCAGTTATGTTTTACTGAATCTGAGGAAGGATATTCATACTTTGGGTATCTGAGTGAGTTCTCTAAGACAGAATTGAAATTATTTAGTTCCCTTCAGTTCTTTGGATATAAGAATTATTCAGTATGTTGCATAGTCATCATAAGAGAGGGTCTTATTCAAAATATTTTTTCTTTGGGGCAGGAGATGTTCTAAGATCTTCTTGCCAAATGAATCCTGACAGTACAATGTGTTTGAGAGTGCTTTTGTGTGCTTCATTTCTTGACTAGGTGAAACATAAGAATAGTTTTTGTTGTTATTGATCTCTTTGTCAGCAAGCTATGAAGAGTTTCAGGCATTAAATATTCCTTCTCTGGTATGTCACATTCCAGAATATTGATCTCAAATAGAAAATAAATTTTGATGGCCATTGGGATGTTTGATCCTATACTTTTCAGTACTCAGCAGAACAAGGGAGACAGATGGATGACAGACCCTTAAGGATGTTCTTTTAATTCCATGATAAAAATGAAGCACCTAATTTTTTTCTTTTCATTCTGACTCTGAATCAGAAGTTTATTGGATAATATTACCGCAGTTGCTATCCTCAGACCAGCTGATGGAGCTCTGCAGGATATCTGGTCTCTGAGCAAGTTCTGGAGGTATGAATTACATTAGATGTTATTAAATACAGGTTGTAGTTCTGTAGGAATCCATCAAAGTATCTGGAGAACAGGGATGTATGGAATGAGAAACATTGATTATGCATGTAAGAAAGTAATAGAGACCTCAGAGCTTGAGCATCTGAATAAGGATGTGCCAAATCACAGCCTTATGTTGTGATGTGTTCTTGTATTCCCTGTTTGGCTTGGCCTGTGGAGTGTATTGCTGTAATGGTATGTGGTATTGAGGCTGTGTTAAGCCTTTATTATTAAACTCTTATAACTCCAGTGGGACTGACAGTTTGTGGTTTCTCAGGACCACTTCCAAAGCAGCACGCAATCATGTTGTTTTTCTTGGGGAAGTTACTTTATTGCTGAAGTCTGGTTTTGCAAAAAAGAGAAGTTATTGGTTCAGCTTCTTTGGTTTCCAATAGGTTGAGACAAATATCTACAAATCCTTGCAGGGAGAATCTGTAAAAAGCAATAAAAAGTTAGTGGCTTTTTGGAGGGACTTACTATGAAAATCTTAACTGAAATTTTGAAACAACACTTAGGTAAACATACAGTTTATGTACAGTTCTTGTTTGAATGTGGATTATATTTGCAGTTCTCATTATGTGTTGCCACTGCTTCTGTTTTGGTTTGTATATTGCATTTTCTTCAATGATGAAATTAAAGTAAGGCTAGTATTTGTATTGGAAATGAATCCCTGTATTTGTTCCTACATGATTTTAAGAACTTGACACAATTGGGCTTTTAAGAGCTGTTTCCATACATCTCTTCAGTGGGGTACCCATGTTAAATGTTTATCCAGTGATGTGTGTATACTTCAGATGTTGTTCAGCATGGCTTTGTTTGTCTCCTACAAATCTGCAGTTTGTTGGTAAGCTCATTTGTAAAGATTCAAATCTTTGTTTATTTTTCTGTTTGGAAACCAGAGTACTGGAAAAGATACAGCAATGTGTTACAAGTTGCAGTTTGTCCAGAAATGCCCTGAGCTAGGATGCACAATATATGCAGCAAGATGGATGATTTAATTTGTCTGTCTTGGGGTCAGGGGAGTGTGGTGCACAGTTATCCAGGCCCTGAGAAAGATAAGGGGTTAGCAACATTTGAAAGGCATCCCTTGCCTTGAAATACAATCAGTCCACATACCTGGATGTCTTAGCTGGAGTGTGGTGTAAGTGCAACAATAAATGTAGTCATCATAGATTTGCTTGCAGGTGGGTTTTTTTGAGGTTTGGTTTCTGGTTTTGTTTTTTCTTTTACTACAGAACAGATCTGTGCAAATCCAGTTGTGCTCTTTTGAAGGTACGTTCAGTTCTGGGTCCTGTGTGGAGCATTGCTGGAAATGAGTTTAAATTTGTTCCCAGAGCAGCATTGAGGGCCTTTGCAGAGTCTGTCTTCGAGCTCCTTTTTCCTGAATGAAATGGGATCCCTGTGTTGGTTTCACAGCAGTGGAACAGAGTCTCATGCAACACTCCTCCACATTCCAAAGGGGCTGTGATGGAGCGCATTCAGGTAGCCCTGCACAGCACTGTTTTATGGGGGATGATGGAGCACATTTGTATATTGGTCCAGTTTTTGATGCTCTAACTGGACGGTGGGAGTGAGGAGAAAGTGACCCAGAGCACTGGTCCCAGTGCAACTTAAACCCACAGCTGACACAAAGTGACCCAAAGCACCTTTGCAGTCCGGCTGGTGAGGTCTCAGCCATCATCATTCCTGGCACTGAGTGCCTTCTATATTGAGTGAGTGCTTGTGCTGTCTTTGCTTCTTCAGATGGATTGGATAAGATCCAGAGTTACATTTGGATCTTGCTGTATCTTGTTGTTTTGGTTTTTTTTCCTTTTCTTTTTTAAGCTGCTAGATCCACTGAAAAAAAAAGATTGTAGTTAACATGAAAACAGATGTAAAAGACTGGCACTGTGGTGTGTGCAGCCTTAAGCTGTACATATTGGCAAGTTACTGTGTGTCAGATTTCATGATTTCGGCATAAAGGCTGCCCTTCAGTTAAGGCAGGAGGACAAAAATTTAAGCTTATTTATGGAAATAGGTATATGAAAGGCTGGGGACTGCTCCTTCAGGCACAAACACTTCCTGGCACCTAAAGCAAGGGTGTATGTAGGTGGGTATGTTTTACATTGTATCTTAATGAGTTTTGAAAGATAAAACCTTTGAAGATTGCCTTTGAAAGGTAGAGCAACATTCTGGGGCTTGGGAAAAGGCGCTGGGCACAGACAGAGCTGCCACATTGTCTCAGCAAGACCCCCTAGAAAGTCAGGAGGATTTTGAGCTGAGCGATGACTGGAAGAGATCTGAAAATAGAAGCAAAGAAACTTTTCTTCTTATGTTTGTGGAGGCAGAACTCAGTGTATTTGCAAGTAAATCTGGCTTGCTTTAAAGAAATGTTTGTCTCCATGAACTTCTGACAGAAATAACCTGTAGCTCTGAATTTGGATGTGAGTAGCTTTTTGGGGTGGAAGAAAAGTGACATATTATTATGTTCTCAGCTTTCTTCAGGTTTACAGTTTCTGCACTTTTGAAGTGCTAATACCAGAAATAAACACAGTGTTTTAATAAAGGTCCATGTTTAGCGAAATTACTTCTGGAGGTCTAGGTGGAGTTGACTGTAATACAGGTTATTCATAGTGAATTTGATTAGTTGAAACTAATAGTAGCATGAAGGACTGGATTGGAAAAGGGAGCTCTTAATCTGCTTGTAATTTTTTTTTTTTTTAATATGAGGAAGATAATGTTCTCAGTTAAGGGAATGAAACTTTATACTGTTTTGTGGGTTGCAATAATGTTATTAATTTGGTGCTTGCAGTGCTTTTCAGCCATTCTTAGAGAAGTCCTAATATTTCATGTGCAGTGTTTGAATGCAAAATATATTTCAGGAAAATTAACAGCTTTTAAATTTGACATTAACTACAAAGCAGTACTTTATGTTGATAAAAATCTCAACAGTTTTTTAAAAGTAGAACCCCACAGAGATACTTTAAAATTGATGACAAATGAAGTTAATGCAGTAAAAATGAATTAAACTCCTTGCTATTTGGAATAATATAATGATGTCTGAATTTTATTCCCAAAAGAGGAAATACAGTTGTTAAGTCCAGATGGATTTTTATTTTTGTTGGAGTAAGTTTTGAGACTAGTAATATCTTCTTTTTAATTTTTTTAATGTTACTACCATAATGCTGGATCCAAGAGAGCACAGACCACTCCACTTGGAACAGAATAGCAAATATTACTGATAATTTTGCAAACAAATTCTAGGTTGGAAGGGTCCTATATGAGGAAAATGAATGACTTATAAAGGGGTCTGGATCATGGGGTGAGCTGAGTGCAAGCAGGCACTAAGGGTTTCTATGTGGCCAAATGTTACATATATAAAAACTATGGTCTTTAAACCACAGGTGAAGCAAAGCATCATATGAAACAGTGACTAAAAGTGTTAGGCATTAACTGGTGAGCAAGAGTTGCCACTGCAGTCATGGATAAAAGCATTGTTGTGATTCCAAGATAGAAAAATAAAAGGGTATTAAGTAGAGAGGTTATATTTTCTTGATGCTTGGCACATGTGTTGCATAGAGTGTAAAGGTGAAAAGATATTGATGAATTGAAATGCATTGGGTTGGAAGCCACTGCTGTGAGTAAAGACGTGGGAAACATGGTGAGCATGGTGTGCAAGGAGCACCAAGTGCTTGGCTTAGCAAACCATGTCAGGGAAGAACTGATCATAACAGGCAAGTCCCCTAAGTGGGGACAAAATATTGGGAATATATTTGATAAGAAAAAGCTCTCTAGGCCAGTAGTCAAAGCACGTTATTATTCAGTTGACCAAGTTTATAAGACATAAAATGAAATTATTTTCAATGAATTGTGGCTACTTCATTGGTTAACAGCACTGTGATTTACTGTATACTCTGTTGTTCTGCCTTTGCAAGGTGTTTGTTGTTTTGTCTGGTCGGTGAAGAAGTTGTTCTGCTTCCTAGCAGAAGGAAGCACAAGGAATTGCTTAAGCAAAATAACAAAAAAATGTTACAGCAAGAAATGCTGCTGAAAAAAAGGGGAAAATCAACTTGTACTCTTGTGTTACAGATTCAGTGGTTCTTTCCTTTGACTCCGTTGGACATACAATAGGCTCAGGTACAACATTGCCTTCTTCTCTATCTCCCACCACATGACAAGGCTTCTACTTAACTGGACATGGTAGCCATGTTGGGAGGCAGGACACTGAGTCAGGCTTCTGTGGGAATCAACCACCTAGCCAAAGGGTAAATAGGTCCTTTCCCGGGTGCAGTGGGAGTTAAGAGCCTTAGTACGACAGAAGGATTAACCCGCGTGACTCTTCCCTTACCCAGCGAGGAAACGACCTGGACACGTGTTGATGATGCAGTTTGTGCTCTTCTTCTCATGTGAAAGGCATTAAGATGATGTCATCTACCAGCTGAAGAAAAACTATTTCATGCTACTAGGATAGTTTCCCCGCTAAACAAACAGCTGAGTTATTTGGGGAAGGACATGAGGAATGCTTCCAGGAAGGAGAAGACGAAAGAAGTCGTAACTAAACCAATAGGGCTGGAAACTTTTTTTTTTGGGTGGAGATTGACCAGCATTATTGAACCCCAGGGCAAATCCTTCCCAATCTCATTTTGTTTGGAACCTAAGCATGACCTACAATTAAACTGAACCAGAAATGAAAAATTCTTTTGTGCTGGGAGCACTTCACTAGATCAGTAACTCTCCATTTGGCTGTGTGTAATGTGCAAGCTGCAGCCAAGGCATGCCACAGTGAGCATGATACTTGATGAAATTCAGTTTACAGTGTGTATGTAATGATATATGAAGTGCAAGGGAAAGGCTAAGAATTGCTCTCATAACTTTAAGCCCCTTAACACTTAAAATATGGGGATATTTATTGTCTTCCACAAAAAGACAAAAGACAAAACCTTTGCTTGGATTTTTATGTTTTATCTTGCTTGTTAGCCTTTCCTCTTAGGTTGATAGGGGGAACATGCTGCCTTCCAACATAGCACCTGTCTTCTGCCTGCACACTTTGAAAGAGAACCTGCTGCCTGACACTAACATCGAAGCTTGAACACACACCTGATTTACTAACCCCTGAACTAGTGGTAGTAATTTACTTTGTTTAAAACACCTCAAACTTTTTCTACTCTTCCTGTATCTCCTCTAAAACTTGTATCTGGAAACAGATCTATTCTTAGTGCATGATCTGATGTGCAAGTGTCTCTAGGGTGCCAGATGGATATGTTGTTGTGTATATGGGGGGAAGAAATCCTCTATTAATTCTCTCTTACTAATTAATGTCTCATAACTGAAGTGTGTTGTTGCCTGTCTCCTGTATTGGGTGGTGGTCTCTTCAGTCTGCAGAAGTAGGGCAGAAGTTGCATAGGTTTGAGATAACCTTGCTTGAATTTTAACCACAGATTTTGTGTCTATGGAGCTAACCATAAATGTTTCCTCCAATAGGAAAGTAAACTTAGTGGTAAAAAACAGTTCAACTGCTCTGTGTCTTTTGCAGTTCTGTTAATATGGAGGGTGGGAAACAGGCTCATGTGAGCCATTGGAGTGCCTGGGTCTGTTTTTAAAGAACTGGTCTTTGTTCTGCTTGCATTTTACAACTCGAGCTTGGATTGGTTAGGAATTGAGACAGTAAGACTTGATCTTTTGTAAACCCTTTCACTGCAACAAGACTGACTTCCTTCATTGAAGAAATGTGAAGAAAACTCATATATTTGAGAAGGGAGGCTCAGAAATGCCTGAGAAAGCTGTATGTTTATTGTTCTTGTGTTTAGTGCTTTGCACTTACTGTGCTGCAAGCTTCACCTTGCTCTGAACTGGTATGTTGAATAAGATGTCAAGATATGTGGTATCTGTCCAACTGAGGGATAGCTTTCCTTGTTGAACAGGAAGGAGAGAGAGAAAAACTGTGGCTATTGTGCTTCCGCTGTCCATCCCATCTCACCTTGCTGCAGACCCAGGAAAAGACAGAGCCCAGAAAGAACCCACAGAAACCATGGCAGCTCCAGGCCCAGCCATTCCCAGTAGGTGATGTTTCAGCTAAAGTTATATGCTTTGAAACATAAAATTACATATACCTTTTTCTTTATTAGTCAAAACCAGCTGAGAATAATAGTTGATAGTCTCCCTGTTAAGATTTCATGCTGCTTAAAACTGGTACTTATATTTGCATATTAAACAGCTTAGAAGTGCTTTTTAGTACCTGTTAATCATGCCATGTGAAGGGCAATGTCTTTGTGCAGTTTCTGTATCATACTTCATTTGACTGTTTGTCCTTATCTTGGCTTTCCCCTTAACTTTGTCCCACATGCAAGTCTCAGTTTTCAGAAGTGCTGGAAATCTGTCCTTCTGCAACTCAGGTTAATGACACTGTCTAGGTTTTTCAGGATGGACTTTCTGAACTGAGTGTTCAGAAGCTCATCTGGCTGTGGAGCTTTAATGTAATGCTTCATAGGAGCGTTCATTGGGTAGAGGGCATGCGAGCCAAATGTGTTTTGAGTGAGGCTGAACCATGAGGTTCATGCTCTGGTCCAGCCTTTGCAAGTCCAGATGTTTTTGTAATTCTCTTCATGGCTGTCTGTTCCCTTAAAAGATAAAGCTTGAGCAGCTGAGATAAATGTTTGATCTTATGTCTAGGCCAGTGTTTCAGCTGAAACCATTTCAGAAAGAAGGGTGTCTTCTCTGAAGTTGGGGAAACAGTCAAACACAGGGTGTTTGAGCAGACCTAGATTTCATTCGCTTGCCATAGACAGCTAGTGCTCCTTTTATTTTTTTCTTTCCTCTCTAGTTGCTTTGTTTTACTTTGTTGCTACCAAATCAAACACTGGACCTTGAAAGTTAGATTTATACCCCTGCTATTTTTGTTCAAGACTTTTTCCTACCTCCTGTGTCTGACAGCAAGCTAAATTTTTCTTCTCTAAGCCTTGGATACAAGTGCACTGGATGTGCAAGTTTCCCAGATGCTACTGAGCTTGCTGAAAATACTGAATACCTTTGGGCTGTAGGCTTATGCTCTTGTTAGACATGTTTGATTGCAGTACTGACCACTGATTCATAGCAGATGTTCTCACTTTAGGCTTAAAAGGTGCTAGTTTCAACATTACAAGCAACCAAGTGTTACCTAGGTCTTGCTCAAATTGTTTGCATGTATTAACTCTTCTGGATTCCCAGACTGTGTCCACATCTAAGACTATGCTTCCAAAGGCTGAGTTCATACTTAGAGTGGAGTAATTATCTGAGAATTTAAATTTGTGCTTGTTTTGGAGTTTGCTGTTTGTGATTCCTTAAGTCAAAGTCCATAACCATTTTGGGAAAAGCTGTGAGAACCATGAAGGAAGCTTTCTCTGTTTCATTCAGCTGCTGAAGATGCTCAGATAACCATTTTGTGAAGAATGAGAATAACCTTCTGTCTGTCCTACCAAATACAACTCCAGAGTGAATTTGGTGACTACTTGTCTATGTTTTGGATGGAGAGTGGTATGGATGAAGGCCAGGAATAGAAATGCAACTGAATGAGGTATCAAATGGGTAGAGTAGTGATAGATTCCTAGCATAAGAGAAAAACATTGGTGACTTGCATAAGATTCCTTGCTGTTTATTTGATTTCTCAGTGATACTCTAATAGTACAAATGTCTACAGTTGCAAACTCTGATATTTCCTGGTTTTTCAAGTCAGTGGTAATTAACTTTAGGTGTTCTTGGTTTGAGGAAAGCAACTTTAATTAAAGTTTGGAGCTAATGTGGTTTTAGCATATTGGGGTTCTTCACCCAAATTGCATTTCTGTCCTAGCTCTATGTGATAAAGATGTGAAAGGAGTGATGAGCTTACTGTGCTGTACATTTCTTCATTCCTGTTAAGGCAGAAAGAAAAAAGGTAAATACATGCATTTTCTCTGCTGGTTTTAGTTGCTTTTTTCTGCAGAAATGCTTTTTTCTTTTCATTTTTGATTTATGAAGTTCTACTTCATTCTTTATTTTTCTGAGTGTAGACTGTGGGAGCTGTTTGAATCTTTGCCAGTGACTGTCATGAAGCAGTTTCGTAGTCCTTATGTGACTTTGCCAGTGTGTTCACTATCATCATCTGTCTTCTTATTAATGCTCTATTCCTCCAGTTCAAAATACGGCTGTGAATGATTTGAGGTGCAAATGTTAAGAAGTGGCTTAATGAATGCCTTAAATTAAAAGTATTTCAATGTGATTTTTGTCTCTCATGTGACATCTCTGCATGAAATCAGCACATCTCGTAAGTCACTAAAAGCCAATATAGATTACTGTTTTGTTAATATTGTTCTTGACTTTTATTAGGAAATACGATAACATTTATAGAATAAAGAGTATATTGGGAGGCTCAGTAGGGCAGCATTAACTCCATTTGCCAAGTGGACTCATGGCAGTAAATGGAACAACTGTTCAGCAAAGGCTGTAATCTGTCTTGAAAAAGATGACTTCCTGGGAAAAGCAAAAGGGCACATGCAGATCATAGGAGGAAATTTTTCATCTTCCTATTGGGGTTTTTCCTAAATTCAGCTTAAAGCAGTTAGTTGCTTTTCTACCACTGGAGGCTGCAATAGTTTTATTGGGATGTGTAGGTGTAGATTGGTGAGGTAAGCTTCTGGTGCTGGGCTGCAAGGGCTGGGCACTTAGCTTTACAGGTGTCACTTCTGCTCCTGCTGTGATTGTTACAGAGCAGGGAAGGGCACCAGGGCCTGGGCTTTTTTTTATTTGGTGTTTTCCTTGATGTCACTTGGCAACCTGGAGAAAAAGGCTGGCAAATGTGTATGCAAAAGCGTGAGTGGGAGTGAAGAGGAAGCTGAAACATAGATCTGCATGCAGTCCATGCAGGGCTGTGCTGAGAAGCCCGGGTGGCCTCAGCTTTACCACTCCTGAACTTGCCTTTGCAGTCTTTTTTATTCCCAGGTTATTTAAATAGAAGGTAATGTTTTCATCTGTAAATTCCATCACTGAAGAGGTTAAAGTGAAAATCCTAAGGAAAGGATACAATGTTAAGTCTTTGTTTATCCAGGACTTTGATTTTTGCTTAGTAGTTCTGACTGCTATTTTTTTAACCTTGGAATAAAAGCTTTCTTTTGTCCTTTTCAGCTGATCCATTTAACATGACTTTTTTTCATTAATTCTTTCTTGTCTCTTGAGTTCTAGAAGAATTATTTTACATCGGCTGAACTTTTATAACTGTCCATATGTGTTTTCTTAGTCCAAGGTGAATGTGATGTGTTTGGCCTTTTTCATTGCAGAATAAGTTATTTTACTTGTGGCCTTTGCTGCAGATGTAGAACTTGCATGTGAATAGTGACCAGGGCTTGGCTCATATGGATCCTCAGTTCTGCAGAGACCAACCTGCACTGGACAGGACAAAATGTTTCAGGGTGGTCTGAGCATCCTTGGTAGGACTTTTGTCTCTTGAGAATCATTGATTTCTTTGACAAACACAAACAGTTTGAATAAAACAGAGAAATTGAATCTTCTTCCTTCCCTCCTGTACTTGCAATTGCCAATTAAACACAGAGCTAGAACTGCATGTAACCTGTCTTTTAAAAAAAAAAGTTTAATTTTCTGTTTCTGTAGGCAAAGTTATTTGTACTGTGCTTCTGAGTAGCTGGCTGCTAAAAGGTTTAGCACTCAAGGGTTAGTATCAGTGAAATTGGTTACAGGTAGCTTGAAACGATAAAACCACTATGCCAAGTTAATTCCTGGATTATTGATTTCAGATTAGTAGCATACAGAGAAAATTTTGCCCATTTTGCTTTTATATAGCTATATTGGCTGCAGATGCAAAAGGCAACTTGAATAGTTGCTAGATACTGTACACTGAACTTTATGGCTTCCTGGGTGGTCTGCATGGAGTTTTCAGACATGAGACAATGCATCTCTCACTTGCAGCCTGGTAGCTGGATTTCTCTTGTATTCTTTGGAGGAATTTCCATGTTAATGCCAACGTTGGATTTGGCACAGGATTTGCATAATTTATAGAAATTGCTGTGCTTGGCTCTATTTCTGTTCTTGTAATCCCAATTACATGCTTTATTATGAAGTAGTTGTCAGTTCTTAGGTTCTTATTCAGTTCTGATCTTCCTGGAAATGTAGAAATGCATTTTGGTTTTGACCTAAGATGACCTCTTGTTCTTATGATGCAAGATGGTGCATGATGAAACTTCATTCCCATTGTTCATTTTTCTGCACTGCTGTACCACACTGTCAGCTGAGATCTGTAGGTCCTTAGCACAGGTGATTGTGATCTTGAGAATGACTTGTGCTCTTCTAATAATGTTACTTTTATCTTTCATGGGCCTTTCAGTCTTCTGTGGGCTGATAATGAAGTCTTGTTCAGATTACTCCATGATGTTCTCTCGAGGGATGCAAACTAAGTTCTTTATTACCTTTACTCATCTTTTGCTTTAAAAGCAGATCCTGTGCCTCAGAGCCATAGAGGTGTCTGCTCTGGAATTGGGTGGGTCAGACATGACCTGGGCTGGATCAGACCTACCAACATGCTTGAATGTGAAGGGGGTTCTCCAGACTGTACCTGTGAGTGGCTCTGCATTGCCCTTCAGTGCAGAGATCCCCTAATCATTGGGGTGCTGGGGCAGGATCATCATGATGATGTTGGTGGAGGCCAACATCAAACCACACTTAACATGGCCAGCTGGTCCAAGATGATTTTTGGTGGAGAAGTCTTTTTACTTTGTTCTCTCTGTGTATTTTGTTCTATTTTCTCTAATATTCCTGCACTTCTTTATCATGTATCTTTATACATGAAAAAGAGGAGAAATATTTTTGTATATCAAGTGGTTAACTTGGTGAGTAAGGCTTTAAACTAAAGGTTATGGGAGGAGGAAGCAACCTGTAAGGGCACAGAGGGGTGGCATGAGTGCAAAGGCAGGCTGTTGCCACCTCTATTTTCAATGGAGGAAAAGATAGGAATTGGATTGCCCCTTTCTTGAGCTGTGAGCTGTGTGATCAGTTCAGTTCCTCTCCTGTAATCGTCACACCCTGAGCAAACTATATTTTAGATTCAGTTGTACTTTGATTGTGTGGATCTGTGTTTCATCTTGTTTTAATTTAGATACATAACTCCAGACAAGGATTGCCTTTTCCTGAGGCTAGGCTCTGTCAGGCTTTCTTCAGATATTTGGGACTTTATCTGTCTTTTGTGAATCCAGGCCGCTGCCAGCCAGCATGTGGGCAGACTTTTGGCCCCTGTTTTTGTAGTGATACAGCTAAATGACACTGGAAGTCTGTAGCAATACTCCAATATTTTGCTAAAAAGGAAGATAACTTTGAATCTGCAATTTTGGAGGGTCCTAGTATCTTTGCTGGGGAAACAGCATGTGATAGAGATTGATTTCTAAGCGAATGGTAATGCTAACTTCCAAAAGTGCCCGTGAGGGTGAGATGGCCCATGGTGAGGGCAGCATTTCTCTGCCTGCAGTAGCTTGCACATCTCACCCGCCAACAAGAGGAAGGGGCATGGATGCTTCTGGTTTGATGTTACAGCCTGAAACTACTTACACCCTACTGAAAATCAAGAACATACCCCTGCATCTGGCTTGAAATCAGAAATGTTGTTTTGTTTTGTTTTGTAATACTTGTTTTTGGAAGTGCCTGTTGCAAGGTGATGCAAAGTAATTTCAGTGAACATGAAAACTTAAAGCTTAGGGAAGGTGAAACAGTTGTGACAAACAGAAGATAAATCTTGTGAAACATTGCAGTGGAAGTCTGTCCTTAGTGTTTAACTCATGTCTGTGTTCTGGTGCTTTGGTTGCAAAGCTGATGAAGTGTTGAGTTAATAGAAAATCCAGGATGTTGTTGTAGTTATGAGGTGATGTATCTCTTATTGCATTTCCTCTTTTTGTATTTCCTGTTGGGAAGAAGGGAATGTTGGTTTGAATGAGATAAGACTAATGACAGATGGGTCAGTGGCTATAGATAGTTTTAAAAAAAGAGTTATTAAAAAAATTCTTTGTGGTTGTTTGCTTAGTACACATGTTAGTTTTGGGAGTCAGAAGGGCTAATAAAAATTGAAGGCATGTTTCTTTTTATGGAGTGGATACCTTCCTATGCACAATCCTACTGGTGTAGGGGGTGAGGTTGTACAGGACATCATTTCTTGTGGGAGGAATAAACTGGGAAGAAATTATGAGGAAAGCAGCACATGGGGGAAACAGAACTGTCAGTGTGTGAAGACTGGAGGAGAGATGCACAGGTGCAGTGGGGATGGTGGGTGGCACTCGGGTGCTGGCAGGGAACAGACAGTATGTGCCAATATCAAGCGTGCACGTGTTCTGCAGCTTCTGTTACCTAAGTGATGTCAAATAGAATACTTCCCTTGGCTCAGGAATTAAATCTTAATGGGATTGAAACCAATGGCACAGTTTACATTGACCTATCTGGTGCAATCATTGCGTCTGAGGTACGTGTTTAGGCTTGGCTGTTCTGCTGGTAAATGAGAGTGTGAAAAGCTTGTGATCTTCAGGTAAACTACTGCACCAGAAATTCCAGGGGTGTCTCATGAGAAAAGTAATCTATTTCCAACGAGGTCTTTCTAAAAGCTTATGAGAATTTTTTTTTTTAACTTCTTTTCATCTCTGATTGGGTTATCTTTTACTTCTCTGTATTTTTTTTTACTGTATAGCTGTGAGACCCAGGGGTCCTCAGTGTGAGGAGACCCTGAGCTTAACCCAGTGCGAGAACACTTTTCCATGTGTATCTCATGTGAATTCTAATAGTTTTATTTTTTTGTATCCATTGTTTGATTTACAAGATCATAATATATTCAGGGATGCTGAATGGAAAGCTTATTTTGTACATGAGTTGCAGATGTTCTGAGTGATTTTGTTTCTTTAACTGTCCCCTGTTTGTGGCATAAACTGACTTTGCAGTTTCCTACTGAGCAACACCTGAATTTGAAGCATTTTTGCCACTGTGAGTGGCAAAAAAACTTTCTCTTGAAGAAGAGCTGCTTGATTATGAAGTTGTGGGTTGGAATAGACAAGGAATGAAGAAAAATTTCAAAGCTCTGGGCATCAGAACTTAGGAGGAATGTTTTTTCATACAGTTTAGTGTCAAAATTATTTGTCCAGCAAGCAGGAAAGCTTTGTTTATCACTGCATAAGTGGTTTCAGTAATACTTTTTATCACTCTGGATAGCTCGCTTAATTCTAGTGATTTCTGAATTAATGGTTACCCCTGTGTTCTCTTGCTGTGGTATTTCCTGGAGACTGAGAAATGTTAATTTGGGAATACCTTGAAGTAACAATAATCTGTATTAACAGCTGCTATAAGGACTTGCTGCTGTTCAGTTTTGGTGCCTTTTTCAGAGGAGACTCTTGCAGCTTTTATGATATTGTGTCCTTTGCTTTTGTTTTCCAGAATATGACAAACTTGGATTTCTCCTGAACCTGGACTCGAAATTGTAAGTAGAACAGTAGGATTCTTCTTCATTTCTGTAGTTACAGCTTTCTGTTGTAAGCAATTTTAATGTCACCTGGGCAGCCGGCTCACTAAACTCTGCACTTCTTCCTGGGACACCCAAGTCCTGCAACAACCTGGCAATTACAACTCCTTTCCTTGCACTAGGCTTTGCAGGCCAGCTTGGATTGTGGTTCACTGTCATTAATTCCTTAATAACTGATCAGGAGTCTATAAATACCCACTTGGAGCCATGACTGTCAGTCTGCTCTAGATATCCTTCTCTTAACCTTCCAAATGAAAAATGAATTACAGACGTGAAAGCAGAAGAAATGTGAAGCTACAATTTGCTGGGATGCTTAGGAGTTTATATTTCCTTCCTACTTGCTCCTTTAAAAATGAATACTACTATTTTTCTCGATAAAATAGAGCGGAAAGAACCTCAGCACAAGGCACAGACCTCTTGCTGTGTCAGAAGGAGGATTCAGTGCTGAAGGATGAAGATGCTTCTCATGCTTTTTGCCTTAAATCAGTTCGAGTGGAGCCTGGGCTGCCGAACACTAGGGGTCAGTAGCGACCCTGTTTCTGGGGTCAGCAACCTGACTGAATTTTTTGGTGTTGGGAGCAAAAACACTACTAAAGACTTCTTAAAAGGGACCAGAACCGATCTCGTGGCTTTGGATGACTTGAGAATACGTCCCCTGAACAACGTGTCATGTCAATATAAACCCCAGTCTTAATGTTTTGAAAATATCATTGTGCCTATAGGGTGAAACAATTCAGTTTAGTGATGAGCAGCCTGTGACTTCCATAATGGAATAAAAGCATCCTAAGTGTCTTGGGAACTGCTGCTTGCAGGAGATGAAAAAGTTTCTAGGTGGCAGCTTCTTTTGGAAAAGCAGCTGGGTACATAAACTCAGCTGTAGTAACATATGGCAAAAAGATTGCAGAATGCATATGAGAAAGAAGGAGTATTGATTATTTGTTTATTAATTTTCCTCCAAAGGCTCTGTATCTCATTCGGTGGTCAGGAAAGATAGCATTGACTGCATGAATAGCTCAAGGTTTCTTTCTGGCCTCATTCAATGTAGTGGTGTTCCATGCAGTTTTTGTTGCATGCTGTCTGGAACCCCTGCTGGTGGCACAGTTACCCATTTTCTTTGTGAAATTTTCTGTGTTGGGGCATCCTAGTGATTCAGGGACAATAGTGTGTGTACCCATACAACACTGTGGGATGAGATTCACATGATATATTACCTTCAATTTATACATGTAGAAGTCAAAGCAAAAAGATGAATCCAAAATTGTGAAGTGGGTAAAGTAACCTTTGGGTGAATGTTTGGGTGTTGGAGACGGAAGATGTTTTTTAAGTTTTTAACTAGACTGATTGTTTTTTTTCCAGGTTATTTTTGTGTATTTTGTAATGTCCAATTTATTGAACACACCCGCTGACTGTCCACACACAGCTGTCATCCCAGTCTGTGCTGCATCCAAACCACTGCTTCAGTCTTCCTCTTCCTTCTCCTTCTGCTTGCACTGTCCTTTTCATTTTGCGTTTAGCAAATCTTCTTGAGTCCTCCTTCCCCTCAGGCCTCTGTTCCATTCTTTTCCCCCTTCTTTGCTGACTTACCTGTTTGATTACAGCTCTCCAAGGCATGGTCTGCTTTTTCTTAGTCTTCAGCATGAGGCCAAGTGAAGTTTTTACCTCCTAGAGGGCTTCCAGAGCACTGATTTATTTTCTTAAAAACTACCCATTATAAAAACTCTCCATCAGTTTGATTAAAAAAGGGTTTTGTTGACTACTCAAAAATATATGCTTATATAGTACTGTAAATATGCATACTTATTTTTCAAAGTCCTAAAGTTAGCTTCTAGAAAGACTTGTAACAAAATCAGCATGATTAAAATAAATACTACAAGTTAACTTAAGGGAAAAAAAGCAAGTACTATATGTAGATGAAATAACTTTTTTTTAAAACTGCAGCTTTGTTAGGTGTGGTGGGTTTGTGGTTTGTTTGTTTTGTTTTGGTTTTTTTTTTTTGTTTTTTTTTTGTTTGTTTGTTTTGTTTTGGTTTGGGGTTTTTTTTGTTTGTTTTTTGTTTTTGTTTTTTTTTTTGTGGTTTATTTTTTTCTTCTGTAGAATTAAAGCTGATCCTGCTTTGAGAATAGAGCTGATGACCTGCAGACTTCACTTCTGGCCTGAATTATTCTGGATTTTTTGTTTTTTCTTTTTAATAGCATGGAAGACAGAAAATGGCTGAAAATGTCATAAAACATAGGAAATAAATTTTGAAAGAAAAATGGCTGATGGTCTAGAGGACTTTGCTACCATTCTACAAGTTCACCTTTTGTGGTCAGAAATTTTGTGATACCAGATTTCTAAGTGCAGACTGGATTCAGTGGGACTTAGTGGTTAAAAATACTTGCTGTGACTGAGTCAAGATGGTACCATCATAGAAGCACTTTCTGGTTAAAAAAATGCTTTGAGTTGAAAGGGGTAATATGTTCTGCACTGATGACTTTATTGGCAGAAATAATTGAATTTTGTCTGTTGTTGTGATATAATCATTCTGGTGGAATCTTGCCATAAATCATAACTTTATAGGATTCACTTAATTGACAGCATGTGAGAATCTTGTGTGACTTGAAGCACTTAGGGCAACAATTAGTTTTCTTTGGATTTTTTTTCTTAATCTCTAATTTGCTCAAAACCTGTTGCTGGCTGTGTCAGTTGATGTCATTGAAACTAATGGCCCATAAAACTAACATTTTCTGCAAAGGTAGATCTGCATTACACCTTAAGTGCTCTGACTTGCATTTTGAATGTCATAGAAAGGAAAACATTTGACATAAGTAAGTAGTAATGTGTCCATTTGCCTTTGCATCTTTAGTTTTTTTTGTGCATTTCTACTTAAATGTCCTCTACCCTGCAGTTGTCCAGGGCTGTTGTTCAGATATAGTACAGTCTGCTGTGGTTACAGGAATGTAATGGGTTTGTTCTCTCTGAATTCATGGAAATGCTAATGAAAGCAGATTTGTTCACTTTGGAAGGAATTCTGTCAGAAGCACTTGAGTAGTGTTTTCTGTGGGAGCTGTGTGTGTGATAAATGCCTTGCTGTAGTTAGGGAGGCTGGCATGGACAGGAATCTCACCTGTGAGGGGATGGCCACTGCTGTATGGAGCCTTCATGGAAATGACAGCCTCTGACCAGTCTTGTTGGAAAGAAGAATATTAAGATGGAAGATGCTTCCTTTCTGATGCCTGAGCCTAGGAAAGCTCTTCTTTAGAAAGTCTAACAGCTTTTAAAGGGCAGGATGGTATCCAGGTGAGGATTGTTAATGACACACAGGGTGAGTGGAAAACTGAGAACCTCCATAGACAGTGCAGTTTATGAATGGGTTGTTCCCTTAGTCAGAACAACACAGAAGTCTCCTTAGGACCAGGTTAGTGAAAAAGATCTGTTATAAGAGGAAGTTATCTTTTAGTTATGTTTGTAATAACCGTAACATCATTACCAGAATTAGAATATCAAAACAAAATATGCACTAAGTATAGAAACAGGCCAGTTGCATCTGTTTCTCCCTGCTAAAGAGGTTTCCCAAGCAGCAGGAACCTTTTTAAAATCTGTAAGGATAACATTTGCTGGTTATGTAGAGAAAAACACAAAAAACTTTGATACAACTCACAGATTTTCATTTTCGGGGGGGCAATAGTTCCTGAACAACTTAAGGCTATCAATCACTTTAGTGACTCAGCCAGTGGATTACTGGGTGCCACCAAATGCCAAGATTTGCAGTCACTTCTAACATCTGTGCTTGGCAATGAGTTGCATGCTTTTGTTATTATTAAATATTTATATTGTAGTAGTTCTTTGAGACTGGCCAGGTCTTAGAAACAAGAGTCTCATTCACTACAAATTCTGAATCATTCCCCAAGCAGAATCCATGTTTGTATTGAATTAAATAAGATTTCCAAAGGAGGATCATGAACGTGGAGTTAATTATAGACTGTATTTAATGCTTATTAAGTGGGCCAAGCTGAAGGTTGTATTGTCATTCTTCTGTCACTTAGTACTCTCTGAATGCTTGGTTTAGTCACCTTAATGACTGCTTTGAGTCTGCCTTGGCAGATTGCAAGTATAGATTCACTTGTGTTGAGCGTATGAAAAGCTCCTTTTTTTGTAACCCATGTGATTTGGGGGCTTCTCCCTTGCATTGTGCTTCTGTGCCACCTTTCCTTCCTGCTCTGTTGGTGTGTCATTCCTCAGCGGGTTGGAAGCTTAGTGACCGCTTCCGCCCCTCTTTCAAACTCATCCTTCAGAAACTACTTGCATAGAGACTTCAGCAGGTACATTGGGGGTTTGATGCTTCTAAACAGAGAAAGGTTCCCCTTAGGAACTTGGTAGATCTTTTCACCTTCTGCCATAGTCAGTTCAAAACCTTGGATGTCAAAATCTCAGCTGATGAATGATGGAAAAATCTTCCCAGGGTTTGACTTTGACTGGGAAAGAACCAGTCCTTCACAAAGTTTAACAAATGTTAGGAGATACACGTGAGTTTCATGGAATCATTTTGCACTTAAAACAGACGGTCTTATCATTTTCTTTCAAGGTAAGAATAGGAAAAAGAAAAGTTGTTGCCCCTCTCAATTGGAAAAATGGTTGTAAGATCACTATGGTTAATCACAATAACATAATATTAACAAATATGAGTACACTCTATTAACTATATGATATACCTTTTGTATTGGTACATGTTTTATATTGTGTACTTTGGGACTCTTTAGGCAGAACTTAACTAAAAGAAGGAATATTTTTTCCAATAGGCTTTGTGTTTTGCTAGACATTTTGTAATGTTGTGTATTTATATATTTCTTCTTGATTATAAAATAGATTGGGAAGGTGCAACAAAGATTTTTTTGAATATTCATTATGATTTCAACTTTGTGTTAAAAAGAAGAAAAGACAAAGAAATTGCGTCTTGCCAGGGGTGGGGGGAAGGCAGA